TCTCTGTCCCAAAAATAAATAAACGTTGAAAAAAAAAAATGCAGGTTCCAGGGCTGGCCTCAGACCCCACTTCAGACTTTTTCTAAAACTTTCTAGGGCTTCTGATGCCCGGATTGGTTTGGAACTGCTCGATCATGTTAGAACAGGTTAAAACATAGAACTACTCCACTCTGAATCTCCTAGCTCAAAGACAACAGATACTGCTCTGTTTTGTTCACAGCTTTATTATCTAATACAGAGATTGGCATACAGTAGAGACTTGCTAAATATGTGTTGAATAAGTGAACACATTGGGAATTTGCCAACTGAGAGAGCATGCAGTCAGCAAATATTTAGTGAGTGCCTACTATATGCCAAACCATGTAATATGTATAGTAATATATTTTTATTTATTTTATTTTATTTAAATGTTTATTTATTTATGTCGAGAAAGAGAGCATGCATGCACGTGTGCACATACAAGTGGGGAAGGGCAGAGGAAGAGGAAGAGAGAGAGAATTCCAAGTAGGTTCCATGCTGCCAGTGCAGAGCCTGACACAGGATTCAATCTCACAACCGTGAGATCGTGACCTGAGCCAAAATTGAGAGTCAGTCGCTTAACTGATTGAGCCATCCAGGTGCCCCTGGTAATATATTTTTAAATATATTCGTGGAGCAACCCATGGAAGTCCCCTACGTTACTGGGAGAGACAGACAATAAGCAAGTAAATAAACCAACATGAAAGGATAAATTGCGATAAGAATGAAAGTATTATCATTAAAACAAAATTGTCAAAAATAATCACAGCTGATGTTTATTGTTTGGTCTTATGAGTCAAACTGCTAAGTAGGGGCCATTTTGTGCTTATTTTGCAGCTGATGAAACTGAGGAGGGACGCCTGGCTGGCTCAGTCAGTGAAGCATGCAACGCTTGATCTTGGGGTTGTGAGTTCAAGCCCCACGTTGAGTGCAGAGATTACTTAAAAATAAAATCTTTAGGGGCGCTGGGTGGCTCAGTCGGTTAAGCGACCTACTTCGGCTCAGGTCACAATCTCGCGGTCCGTGAGTTTGAGCCCCGCGTCGGGCTCTGTGCTGACAGCTCAGAGCCTGGAGCCTGTTTCAGATTCTGTGTCTCCCTCTCTCTGACCCTCCCCCATTCATGCTCTGTCTCTCTCTGTCTCAAAAATAAATAAACGTGAAAAAACATATTTTAAATAAAATCTTTAAAAAAAAAGAAAAGAAAAAAGAAGCTGAGGCATACAGAGATTAAGTAGCTCAACCCATGATCATAAGCAGAGGTCTGAACCCAGGTGGTTTTACGTCAAAGCCTTTGTTGTTGTTGTTGTTGTTGTTGTTGTTAATTTTGTTAATTATTTTTTCCAATTTTTTTGGAAACAACATTTACTATCCTATCCTTTTTAAGTGTAGCATTTGTTGGTATTAAGTGCATTCATATTGTGGAACCATCACCACCATCCATTTCCAGAACTTTTTTTTATTTTTAATTAAAAAAAATTTTTAATGTTTATTTATTTCTGAGACAGAGAGAGCATGAGTGGGGGAGGGGCAGAGAGAGAGAGGGAGACACAGAATCCGAAGCAGGCTCCAGGCTCCCAGCTGTCAGCACAGAGCCCGATACAGGGCTCGAACTCACAGACCGCGAGATCATGACCTGAGCCGAAGTCGGACGCTCAACCGACTGAGTCACCCAGGCACCCCTATTTTTAATTTTTAAAAAAATTTTTAATGTTTATTTATTTTTGAGAGAGACAGAGCATGAGCGGGGGATGGGCAGAGAGAGAGGGAGACACAGAATCTGAAACAAGCTCCAGGCTCTAAGCTGTCAGAATAGAGCCTGATGCAGGGCTTAAACCCACAAACGGAGAGATCATGACCTGAGCTGAAGTCGGACGCTCAACTGGCTGAGCCAACAGGGGTGCCTCCAGCACTTTTTTCTAAAGCGCAGTTTGACACACAACATTATGTTGGTTTCAGGTATATGATATAATGATTCAAAAATGTGTGTACATTGCAAAGCGATCACCACAATATATCTACTATGTTGTTACTGTTACCGCAGAGTTGTTACATATTTTTAACTATATTCCCGATTGTACATTGTATCCCTGTGTCTTGTTTTATAACTAGAAGTCTGTACCTTGTGGTCTCCTTCTCCTATTTTGCCCACTCTCTGACCCCTCCCTCCGGCAACCACCAGATTTTTCTCTGTATCTATCAATTTCTTTCTGTTCTGTTTTGTTTGTTCATTTGTTTTGTTTTTTAATTTTTCAAGTTTATTTAATTATTTTTAAGTCATCTCTACACCTAATGTGGGCTTGAACCCACAACCCAAGCAAGATCAAGTGTCCCGTGCTCCACTGACTGAGCCAGCTAGATGTCCCTGGTTTGCTTTTTAGATCCCACATGTAAGTGAAATGATACAAGGGTGCCTGGTTGGCTCAGTTGGTGAAACATCCAACTGTTGATTTCGGCTCGGGTCATGATCTCCCAGTTTGTGATTGAGCCCCAAGTCGGGCTCCGTGCTGACAGCGCAGATCCTGCTTGGTATTCTCGCTTTCTCTCTCTCGGTCCCTGTGTGTGTGTGTCTCTCTCTCCTCCCCTCTCCCACTTGCACACGCATGTGTGTGCTCCCTCAAAATAAAAAACTGAAATCACACGGTATTTGTCTTTCTCTGACTTAGTTCATTTAGCATAATAGCCTCTAGGTCCATCCATGTTGTCACAGATGGCAAAATTGAATTCTTTTTTTTTTTTAATGGCTGAGTAACATC